CCAGTCAGAGCTTGGATCAGTTAACTAGGAGGAGCTCGGTTCTGACGACCGTTTACACATCACGCTATCTCGGTTCCTCGACCCCTGGCCTCCTAGTGACGATCTGCGGTATTACTGCCACTATTGAAGGAAGAAATCAAGCAGTTTGTGGTGGTAATGCACCAAAAGTTGTTTGCCAACCGCCATAAAACACAAGAAGAAGACGAAGAAGGAGGAAATCAAGCAGTTGGTGGCGGTAATGCACCAAAAGTTGTTTGCCAACCGCCATAAAACACAAGAAGAAGAAGACGAAGAAGGAGGGAATCAAGCAAATCAAAATGGCAAAAAAGAAAGTTATGCTTGATTATTATTGTTGTACTTCGGTGTTATTATTTAAAATGTTGGGTGGAGAAGATTTCGATTGTTGTTTATAGTTGTTGTTCTTCTTCTGTTTTGTGTTGGTTGGCAAGCAACTTCCTGAGGGGCGTTACCGCCAACTACTGGAATGGAGTGTGAATCGGGATGTGCAGCCAGACAGAGATGACGCGTTTTGCTCATGTGCTCTTGTTATCAGAGAACCGAGCCAGGGAAAAAACCGAGCCGAGCCCACCTCTGGAACTGGTCTGCAGTTAGCTCGGTTCGGTTGTGTCTATCTTGGTTCAGTTGAGTTTGCTTTCCATTTACACACGATAAGTTATCTCAGTTACTGAGCTCAGACCGGTCTTGGCACGGTTTTTCAAGGGTAGTGTAAATGGGGTAAAAGTGTTTCTGGAGTGCAAACTATTTATCGATGTTGCACAATTGGCTTTGCCAATTGACGGAGTTGGACATTGTGTTGGGATCCAGAGGCTTGCCCACCAGAGGGCGCCAAGGATCCCTTCCTGAGGGTTTGTGCTCACCTGCAACACCTGTTTTCCATCTGCTCATCAAGAGGTCCCTACTTAAGGAGGTGGAGAGCTTCACTCCGGCGCCAGAGTGTTTGCCAGTTATGGTTAGCAAGCCTGAGCCAACCTGCCTGTCTGAATCTTTGACTCCCAGAAAACCTGAACCTGAACCTAATCTGTTTTGTCCTCTCTGCTTCCCAGGTAGAAACTGCCTGAAACCAGAAACCCTGAAGAGTTTCTCTGTTGGAAATCTGTCTGTCTGATCTCTGAAGAACCCTGGAGAATCAAACCTGTCAAAGACCTGCCTGCCCGCTCTCTGAAGAATCTGAAAGGGAAACTCAAACCTGTGATCTGCAAGCACTCAAACCAAGGTCTACCTCCGCCAAGCCCTCAGCCTGCTGACAGCCTCTGGACCCTCCTGGTTCCCCCTCTCTGCCGCTCTGCTCAAACTCCAGAACAGTATACCCAGTCGTGACCAGTCCTGGATCTGATTATCCCCTGGAACAGTTTATATTCTGTACAGTGTTTATTCAATAAAACTTTGAACTTTTTCCCTGTCTGATGAGTGTTCTGCATGTGGGTTAGGAACCTGAAACCAAACATGATACATTGTTCATTGGTTTAGGTTCTATGGCTACCTCAGATGCTGCCTCACCTTCCAGAGATAAACCAATTGTAGAGGAGTGCTAATGATGTCTTAATAAGCTCAGTCTTATTTATAAAGAATCCCATTAAATCATTACTGCTAAGAGCAGGTGGAATGGGTGGTTCATCTAAGCTATGGCTCTGGGTGAGTTTGGCAACTGTATAAAAAGAAATCTAGGATTATTCATCTTGTCCTCTATTAATGAGGAGAAATATGCTGCTCTTGCTTCACAAAGGTTCCTCTAATACAGCAGTTAACAATTTTTCCAGACTAGGAAGGACTCCCGCAGGCCTGTGGAGTGATATTTTCTCTCCAGTTTCCAAGCATTTTGCTTCAAAATGCGCAGCTCTGCATTAAACCAAGGAGCAAGCTTTCTATTTTTAGCAGTTTTTTATTTTAAAATGGGCTGCATTGTCTAAGGCAGTACGCAGATAACTAGCAAAACTATCAACAAAATCATCAACCTGTGAAGGGGAATAAACTAAGCTTTTGCACTCTGCAGCACTGCTCAGTAAAACAGAGAAGAGAGTAAGTGAAACAGAATTTTAAAAATGTATATGTATGTTAGCCTTGTTTCCTCACCAGGTTTGGACACACTGCAGGAGGGATTTTGGCCCACTCCTGTTTTCAGGTCATTGACCAACTCCTCCCCAATTTCTGGGCTGGTTTTGCACCTTTCTTAGGATCATTGAGGCCCCACCAGGTAGGATCTTGCATGGAGCCCCATGCCGTGGGAGATTGACAGTCATGTTTAGCTTCTAACATTTCCTAATCATTGCTCCAACAATGGACCTTTTATCACCAAGCTGCTTGGTAATTTCCCCGTAGCCCGTTCAAGCCTTGTGGGTGTCTACAATTTAGCCTCTAGTGTTTTTGGACAGCTCTTTGGTCTTGGCCATGTTAGTACTTAGACAGCTGTCTGTATGCAGCTAACCACCTCAAAGCATCTAATTTAGGATATAGAAATGTAGTGGAGGTTGACAGTTTGAGGGCAGAGTAACAGGTCTTTTAGGGTCAGAATTCTTGCTGATAGACAGGTGATCAAATACTTATTTGCAGCTGCATCATACAAATAAATAGTTTTAAAAAAAACAGTATATCTTTATTTCAGGATTATTATTTCTTTAGATTATGTCTTCATCAGACCCCCCTTTCAGACCCCTCCAGACAATTTCAGACACCTGATGTTTAGAAGAACTTGCAAAATAGCAGGGTACTTAAATACTTATTTTCCTCACTGTACAGTCTTCAGTTTAGCTTGAAAGATGATGGCTGTTTTAGCCAAAAGATATAGATAAGAAACTTTTAAAAGAATGTGATATTTCCTATGAACAAAATCCATCCATCCATCTATCCATGCAGCCATCAGGGTCATGTTGGTGCTGGTGGTACATAGATTGCAGGCATGCCTTGAAGACATAAAAACCTGTCTGACTCTTAACTTTATGCTTCTGAATGCAGA